ACTAAGGTCTCTAAAGATGTTCCTTTTGTGCCAGATGAGGATGCTGAATCAGTGTTCACGGCTACATGAGCAGTGCCCTTCTTGCTTCTCAACTTCGCAGGAACCAAGTGAGGGTGCAGTTTCCAGCATGTCTCTTTTGTATGTTTGGGCTTCTTACAATGTTCTCATACCACATCCTTCTTGTCTTCCTTCCTCCTGTCCTTCTCTGAATCACCCCCTGATTTGGGTGTGACCGCTACAAAGGCTGGTGTGGGGGACTGATGTTCCCAAGGCTGCTTTCTGCCTGATTTTTAAACTCCATTTCTGTCAAGTCTCAAAACAGCACTTGGACTACCAATCACAATCAAAAAACAGTATGGGCCTGATCTGTCTTCACAGTGTATGTGCACAAAACTAGGATAATTCTGATCTGAAACCAACTAGCCAACACAACAGTAGCTGTTCGTAGAGCTCTAACCCCTTAGGACTCTGAAAAACAGCTTAAAAGAGGTCTGATATGCTTGGGAGTGTTAGGGTTTTAATCAGTCCTTAAAGTGAACAATTCAGTTGCACAATCCACTCAGTACTGTATATATAGACTTGCAGTAGGGTTAATAWGAAACCCTAGAATCTGTATATATAAATCTCAAGGTTCAGTCAAACACTAGGGCTTGCCGCAAGATTACTTTCAAACCCTAGAGTAGAGAGAAACACAGTTGGGACAGTTCGGCCTAGGGTTTGCTATAAAACCCTAGTGAATCGCAGAGAGAAAACCCTAGGATGGTTCGGCCTTCCCCTCCAGATAGGTCCAACCTATCTTCTCTGAACCAACTTCTCTTAGAAAGTAAATAACTTACAAGGAAAAATTGTTCGCTGCCTTCTAGGGTTACCCGAACCCTAGTCTTCTCTGATCCTACCTGACCACCAACACTCTGCAACCCTAACAAGTTTCCAACAGCTGCTAGCACTTCTGGCGATCTCCAAGAATCAGTCTGTGAACTCCTTTTCAGCTCTTAGTTCTAGGAGATTCTCATGTGGTCGACTGGTATTAGACTCACATGAGAAACCCTAACTTGACTCTGATACCATGTAGGTGTTCAAGACTGCTATCAGTCTTGATCACTAAGAAATTTCAGGTTCGAAGAGAAGAGAAAGTGAAGAAGGAGGAGAAAGAGTGGTGAGAGAGCAGTAGAACACAGTTTTGAGGAGAAGAACAGAATCTCAATATTCTGCCGCTGCCACTTTAATTTAATATTTATATGTTATGCTAATTACATGAAAGGACACATCTGCCCTTAGTGTTTACATCATAACACATAACAATATAAACTGAAAAGTAAATAACAACTAAAATAACAGAATCATAAATCGACCACAGCTGTGACTAGATACATTCTACCCTACGGACAGAGTGGDACCACAGCTGTGGGGCCCACATCAATGTTCTCTACACTTTCTTGCAGCTTACATTATTTTTGGTTGTGCAGCACAGAGGGAAAAGATTTTGGATAAACAGCTTCACAGTCTGATTGAGCAACTAGAAGCAAAGCAAGTAGGTTTTGTCAATTATAAAACTGTAACTATTGAAGGCAACTTTTCTTTTTAAATGAGATTCTTCTTTGCTACTTTTTCCATCTTTTTAGACACAAGCACAAGGCCTGGTTAGTGAAATCCATCTCAAAGAGCAAGAATTGGAGCGATTGAATGAGTTGTGGAAGAGGGTTGAAAATGGGAATATAGAGGCAAGTAATGCAAGAAACCGTTTTGGTAGAAGCAACTCAGAGAGGGGATCTTCTTCAGATTACATTGTCGATGCTCATTCCAGGCCTTCTTACATGGGTGGTCGAACAGAAAGCCAGCAGAGGCTAATGCTACTCAGATCTGCCTTTATTCTCTATATTTTGGTTCTCCACATTTTGGTCTTCATCAAGATTTCGTTTTAATCTTGCTTCAAGACACCATTTGCTTCCTCCTCGTTGTATGTATTACATTTAATGTATAATTCAATTAAATTCAATGACTTTTATTCCCATTCTTCAACCATAGGTTTTTCTTTTAACGGTTGTTTGAGGCCACAGAGATGCTGCAATGTTATTTCATTATGTATTCAACTACTTGGCTAACTTTTGATGCATGCACTTTGTATATATTTTGGGAAAAAGTACAGTAAAGATTATGTTTCACATAAAAATGGTGTGTGACAGACAGAAAGACCATGCATTAGAGCCATTATCCAATGTGTTGGTCTCGCTTCTGGCTATTTGGGGTCTTGGAAGGGGGTTAGACTTAGACATATGAACCTAACCCTTGGCATTTTTTTATCAGTGGCTGCTCATAGATGTGAACCCGTTTTCTCATAGTTTGTCAGATATTGGACAATTACACAAAAGTCAATGCGCATGAAAGCATATTCAAGGCATCTAGAATATTTTTTAGAGCAAGACAACAGACTGCATCAAACTCAAATAAACTTGTCAAGATATCAATACAATGGTCCATAAGTTGCACAATTTATCATATAAAACTAACATCTGTGAAGTTGCTTTGTTTTTCGTGGATAAAATAATTAAGGGTCATCATCTAAAACACCCCTATAGTTTCATGAATTTACTAAAACCTTCCTTATAATTTGTGTTTTACAAAAACATCCCCTACAGTTTACAACCAATTTACTTAATCGACCTTCTATTAGATGAAAGTGGAAAATGGCAGTTTTAACCCTAATATCCGTTGAAATAAATTTAATCAAAAGAAACTAAAAACAAAAATATCATTTTTACCCCTATTAAAACACGGACAACCACTATTTTTCTCTATACAACCATGGGTCCATGCTCTTGAACATTTTCCACTTAGTTTAGGTGATTAAGTAAATAGGTTGCAAACTATAGGATAGGTTTTAGTAAATCTGTGAAACTATAGGCAGTGTTCTAGTAAATGATCCAATAATTAATTAAACGTTCAAGGTTACTTATCCACCCAACTTCAGCTTCAGCCATTAAAGAACCTACAACCTCCTTAAAAACTTATTCAGTAGGCTATATTTGGTTTGATAGAAAATAAGAGAAACTGAAAGTCGAGGGAAAGTTCTTAAAGAATATTGTCATGTGTGTACTTACTTAAAAAATTTTCCTTTAACTTTCTTTTTTATTTTCTATCAAACCAAATGTAGCCTGAAAGACAAAGTAATGGGCTTTTCAGTTCATCCATTTCACACTGAAAAGGCTGTGAAGATGCATGCTTCTGTGTAAACTATGCAACTGTGGAGTAGAAGCATACATTTGCTACACGCCGTAGACTACAACTATGTAGTATAAATTGCATAACATAGATTATGATAAAACAGTGATTATAGGATTGGTAAGATCACTAGAAACTATGGAGTAGAAGAAGCATACTGTGTTTCTGTAGTATATCCCGTGTTACTGAGAGATCGGGTCATTAGCCCACATGTGCATGGGCATACTCTAATTTGCTTTCTTCCGCACCAGATCAAAGCCATCAGCCATTCCACATGCTTGTTGGCTTGAAATTTCAGACAACAGAAATTGTAGACTTTTTTTTTCTGTTTACAGGTCAATGGGTGATAAAAAACTGCAGGGTTTTCAAAAGGGTTATTAGTTAGGCCCCATCTTTTGAAGGACTTGGGAGTGGAACTAAATATGCTGTCAACAAATGTATAGCTTCAGACAAGAATGATCGCTTCTTTGACCCACCAGGTGAATTGGTTGGAAATGTTTGGCCAAGGAAAAATGCTTTTGTTGGATCACTCTCTGCATTTGTTAGTTAAAATATAAAGAAATCACGTAGAAGATCCCAGAAATCCACTTGAAAGAACATGTTGACATTATCTTAAGTACAAAAGTCAACAATTAGCCAATAGAACAGATAGTAGAAGCCGGTCCATGACGATGTCACAAATGACTGAGGAGGTTTCCTTCTGAGTGGATATCTTGATCAATGGGTTGGTATGCAACGTTATAATAATTTTTAATTGAAAATGATGTTGATGGGTTTGAAAATTCCCCCCATGATACATTTTCTCTGGATGAAGACGAAGAAATAATGCATTTTATTATTCCATTTGGCAGAGCAGAAAGATGAGACAGACGACACAAATGGTGTTAGGTACCCTGTAAAAACTATTGTGTATGGTTTTTGACTTGGGATTAAGAAATCGAAGGAAGAAACGGAATGGGAGTTTTCCAAATTCATTTGAGCTGTAACTGCAAGGCACTGAACTTGTTTCCTTGGGAAAGTGAGAGGAGCAGATAGATGGCTGAGTACATTGTTTGCTTTGTTGTTGAAAAGCTCGCTAATGAACTCATTGAAGAGACAGTTTCCTTGTCAAGAATCCATTGCCAAGTGGAGTGGATTGAGAGGGAACTGAGGAGAATGCAATGTTTCTTAAAAGATGGCTGATGTAAGAGATGTTGCTTATGATGCAGATGACATTATTGATGGCTTCATATTCAAAGGAAAACATCAAAGGAAGAAAGGTTTGATTAACTTTGTTGAGAGATATTGTTTTGTTTTGAATGAATTGATTGCTCGCCATAGAGTCAATAAGAAGATAGAGGGAATCAAGATGAGGATCCAAGCAATTGCTGAAAGTAGATCAACCTATGGAATTGAAAATATTGGAATAGAACGAATAAACTTCGCAAGTAGAAAACTGCATGAGAAGCGAAAATCGTCTCCTTATGTCAATGAAGAGGATATTGTTGGTTTGGAGGAAGATGTAAAGATATTGCAAGCACGGTTATTGGGAGGAGAGTCACGACGGTCTGTGATTTCCATCGTCGGAATGGGAGGTTTAGGTAAGACTACTCTTGCTAAGAAAGTTTACAACAGTAGTGATATTAAGAAACATTTTGACTGTTTGGCTTGGGTTTACATCTCTCAAGAACATAGAGTGGAGGAGATTTTGCAGGACATGGGAAAGCGAGTCTTGGGGCTTGGAAAAGTGGAAATGGAGAAAATGATTAAGAAGGAGCTGGAGGAGATGCTGTCAACATTCCTGGAGGATAGAAGGTATTTGGTGGTCATTGATGATATATGGAAAATAGAAGTCTGGAATGATTTACAAGCAATCTTTCCAGATAGAACAAATGGAAGCAGAGTGATGTTTACTAGTCGCTTCAAAGGTGTGGCTTTACTTGCTGATCCTAGAAGCCCTCCTCATGAGTTGCACTTTCTAAATGATGAGGAAGGTTGGGTGCTGTTATCAAAGAAGGTATTTGTGCGAAGGAATACTTTGACAAGTTTTCCTCTGTGGTTAGAGGAAATTGGAAAACAAATCGTGAGAAAATGCGGGGGTTTACCATTAGCCATATCTGTATTAGGTGGTCTCTTATCCACCAAAGATGAGACCTTTGGTGAGTGGATGAAAGTGTTGCAGAGTGTACATTGGCAGCTAACTAATAGTGCAGAACAATGCTCAGAAATCTTAGCATTAAGTTACAATGAGTTGCCTTTTTATTTGAAGCCATGCTTCCTATATGTAGACATCTTTCCTGAAGGTTATGAGATCTCTGCAAGGAGGTTGACTTTGTTGTGGATTGCAGAGGGGTTTGTGCAACAAAGAGGTGATGAACCACTGGAGGATGTTGCAGAGGACTATTTGGAAGAGCTTATAGGAAGGAACATGATTCAATTGGCAAAAAGGAAGTACAATGGAAGGGTCAAAACTTGTTGTGTGCACAATCTTCTTCGTGATCTTGCTATATCAAAATCCAAGGAGGATAAATTTCTTGATTTCTTTCATGGAGGCACCAAAGTTGGATCCATAATTAGAGCTTGTCGACTTGCTGTGCATCTTGGAGTTCCCCCTCTAAATAAAGATACTCCTCACTACCGTTCTTTGTTTTGCTTTGACCTTGGTAAGCCCATCTTCAGTGAAATTGTCAAATTTAAATTGTTGAGAGTGCTTGACTTGGAGGGTGTGTATATGCCTAAGCTTGATAATGCTTTCGGAAATTTAGTTCATTTGAGGTACTTGGGTTTAAGCGGGACTTGGTTGAAAAAGATTCCATCATCCATCTGCAACCTCTGGAACTTACAAACATTAGATATAAGATCCACCTTGGTCAATCCCATCCCTTGTGAAATTTGGAAGATGGAGCAACTAAGAAACTTGTATCTAAATGAGCTCAGTGAAATGGGTGTGCATCCCATTGCTGGTGATTCATTAGTGAATCTCCAGTCATTGCAGGGGATCTTTATAGGTGGAACCAGCTGTATAGAGAATGCTTTGGGCAAGTTGACTAATCTTAGAGAACTTGGAGCATGTGGTGATTTAGAATTGCAAGAAGAGGCCTTGGCGCTGTGGATTGTCAATTTGAATCAACTTCAATGCTTGAAGTTGGAGGCAATATCCAGGGCTGAGGGCAGAACTAGATTCAGAGTTCCAATACCAACGTTGATGCCATTTTCAAATCACATGCATCTCTGCAAGCTAAATTTGAAAGGATTGATGAAGAAGCTACTTGACCCAGATGAATTCCCACCAAACCTTACTGAGCTATCATTGCAAGACTCCTTCTTAATGCAAGATCCCATGGAAACACTGCAGAAGTTAAGGAACCTCAGGATTCTCAAGCTGAAGCGATCATCCTATATGGGAAAGGTAATGATTTTCTCTACTGGAGGGTTTCCTCAACTTCAACTGTTGAAGCTTTCTTTCTTAAATGCATTAGAGGAATGCAGGATCAATGAAAGGGCAATGAGAAATCTTAGACAGTTGGAAGTTATTGAATGCAGACGACTAAAGTTTGTTCCACAAGGATTAAGACCTCTGACTGCACCCTGCGAATTGAAGTTGGGTTATATGCCACATAAATTTGAAATGAAGGCTCAAGAACATGAGGGGAATGTTTGGTATAAAATCCAACATGTACCTCCTCTTTAACTAAATAGCATTACTCTTAGAGGGATTAAGATAGCTTCTCTTTCTTTGAGCAGGGGTTAGTATTTTCTTTCTTTTCTTGTCACACTTTTCTTCATCGAGAAAAACTTCTTGCTTGGCATTTATACAAACTGGGTGCTCATCTGAGAGTTGGATAAATTTGTTGTTTACTAGCATTTCTCAAAAACTTATCTCATCTCATCATCTAAGCCTTATCCCAACTATATGGGACGGATATATGAATCCTGTTTTACCATTCCACTCTGTTTAATGCCATATCCATTTTTTAAACACTTCAGATATAATTATAGGCACTAGGCCCAAACCCATCACAAGATATCTGCTGCTTGAATACAATTGAGATTTGAGAATGAATAAAACCCGCTCTGATGGGGTGAATAGGGGTAGGTCCAAATCAAAGAAGAATCCAAGATATCTCAATTTGATTCAATATCAAATGGATATGTAAAATATGAATCCAATTTCGATTCATTTGCATATTGGGATATTTGTTTTCGAGTTGGATTCGATTAGAATATCCATAAATATCTATCAAATTAGTATACATTATATGTATGTATGTATGTATGTATGTATGTATGTATGTATGTATAGAGAAAGGTATATATTTCCCTATTGAATTAAATCTGACATGTTTGCAGCCATTGATGGGGATTGTACAATGATAGAGCTGTCAATGAATTGGGTTATTAGTCAGGATAATCATGTCAGACCTGATTAGATCTGATTATATTTTCATCTTACAACTTGTAACTTGATTTTTGATAGGGTAAATTACAGATAGGTACCCTGTACTTTATTTGAGGGTAGTAGCAGATAGGTACATTGAACTTTCAATTGCAATACTTGAGTATCCTGGGCTCTCAAAAATAGATACTTGGGTCCATCCATTAATATTCCGTCAGTTAAACATTATATAATGTCAAAAATTCTCGTGTATTTTTAAGATCATTCTATGAAGTAAATTCATCACCAGAGAATGCCATCTTCAGAAAATTTGAATATGTTATTTGCTGTCCATGTCAGAATGTCATCATGGGGAAACATTTGGTTACCTGAGAATGATCTCAGAAATACACAAGGGTATTTTTGGCATTATGCGATGTTTAACTGATGGAATACTAATGGATGGACCTAAGTGTCTATTTTTGAAAGTTCAAGATACTCAAGTGTTGCAATTGAAAGTTCAAGGTACCTATCTATCACACTATACAGGGTACCTATCTGTAATGTACCCTTTTTGATACTATACCCTAACCTAAAATTGTTTATATGTTGATAAATAAGTGCCTCTAATCAAAATTATCTTCTATTCTTGTATAGGAAATTTATCCTTTCAAACATAAAATAAACAAAAATTACAAAAAAAAAAAATTTCTATATTATTAACTATATAATGAATTCAGGTCTTAATCGGTTTGTAAGTTGAAACAACAACGATCAACCCCAACCCAATTATTAATCGGGACATAAACTATAGAACTAGAACTGAACAATTGGTTCAATCGGTTCGACTCTGTCGGGTAGACCCGACCTCTAGTCTCTCAGTGGCGGGTTGGATTTTGTGGCTGTATATACTTGGTTCTTTAATCTTTCCATCACACGATGTAAACCATATAATCTAGACTTTAGAACTTGTACGTCCGAGATTGAGAAGGCACAGAGCTTTCCAGTACAAAATTCTGTTCTCATTTGGGAGGAGGTGCGTACTACGCTCCATTGTATTGTGGGCGATAGCCGGTAGGCCCCGTTTGGAATCATTTTAGTGGCGAGAGAGGCTTGAGACTGTGCGATGGGATTGGGTAAGCCAAAGCCATAAATCTTTTATTCATTGGACGACCAATCGACCAGAGATTCTACAGAAGTCGATTTTCCATCATTATATTATTATTTTTTGATCCTCCCATTTCCATTTTCCAATTTCCATCACACAAGAACTCGATCTTACAGATACCGATCAGCGGATCAGGCTGTTCTGTCTGTTTTTCCTTGAGAGGTGGCGATGGAGATGGCCTTCCGAGCAGCAGCCACGGCAAGGCCTCCTCCTTCTTCCTCTTCTTCCGTTCTCCCATTCGCACCCAGAGCTTCTCTCTCTAAACCAACTCCCAGAACTCAAGTTAGACCCGCTTCGGTATCCTTACCAACAACATCAGCGGCCATCTCTCTCCTAGCACTCTTTACAGCTCCCAATGACGCCAAGGCCTTCAGCTTCTCTAAAGAACAGATCGTTTCCACTCTCACTCAAGTAATTCATGTTCTCGATCTTCAGTTCTTTTACAATTTACAGCATCACTCTACCCGTTTTCTGGGTTTCCTATCATACCCATCTCATTTTTTGACTGTTTTGAGCTTGTCTGTAGGTGGAGAACACAGTTGACCAGGTACAGGAGGTGAGTTCTGGAGTTCTGGAGTTCTCGCAGCGCGTTCTTCAGGTTGTGATTGATACTCTGAAGCCGGGAGTCGATGTGGCGTTACCAATCTTGCAGAAGGCTGGAGACCAGGCACTGAAGATTGCTGCGCCAGCAATTTCTGAGGCTTCTAAGAAAGCCCAGGATGCAATTCAAAGTTCCGGCATTGACACGGAACCAGTTTTAGGAGCTGCCAAGGTACCCATTTCCTTAACTTGTTCTTTCAGTTACACTGAGTATGTTAGTGTTGGCTATAGTCTACTAGTACCATGTATGGTCAACCGGAGAGGTGCTTGTTTGAAGGGAAAATGGTGCTCTTGGGAATGCTGGCTCGTTGATCACAAGGGACTGAGTTAAACTCTTTGAATTCAGGGGAAAGAAAGAGTTGGTCAGTTGAACTTCTAGCCATTGTTTCTGTATTGTGTGTAAACTTTGATGAAACATTTTAGCTTTTTATAACATGGTTTACCAATCTGGGATCTGAGAGAGGTGGTCATGTGTTAAAAATGGGGCATCACCAATTTGATTAGTTGAAACTTGAAGCGTGATTTAGATTGGGTTTTATGACAGACAAATCATTTTCAATTAAATTTATTTGTGGAAGGTTTATTCAGAAGCCAATGCATGTTAGCCTAAATATTGGTCAGTAATTGGTAGTGAGCAATGTTGTTAGAGTAAATATTGGGATGCAGATACCCTCGACACTCTTCTTGGTTGCTTAAATCTACTACACTTTTGAATGCACATATTAGACAGTTCATACGTATTGGCTGAAGGGGTTCATTTGATTACAGACTGTGGCAGATGCAGCCCAACAAACCACAAAGGTAATTGAAGAGGCCAAACCCATTGCTTCATCAACCATGGAAGCCATCTCAACAGCAGATCCCGTGATAATTGTAGGAACTGCCGGAGTATTATTCCTTACGTACCTCCTCCTTCCTCCCATCTGGTCCTCCATTTCTTTTGGCCTTCGTGGTTACAAAGGTATATCCACTTTTGTCTGAAATTTGCATCTTTTGGTTAAATTAGAAATCAGATTACAAAAGTAGCATTGATGTGCAGTAATTCTACTTTTAGTGTTTAGTACATATATTATGTGTCCTTGTATTAGATTTGCATATTAGGAAACCAATTTTATCATGGCTGGGCTAATCTATGGTGTTTGGTGTTCTCTAGGTGGGCTTACTCCAGCTCAGACTCTTGATATGATATCTACACAGAATTACCTCATGATAGATATTAGGTCGGAGAATGACAAGAGCAAGGCTGGTATTCCTCGCCTTCCCTCGAGTGCTAAAAACAAGTTGATCTCAATTCCGTAAGTGGATCTGTTTTCTTGAGCTTCAATTATTTTCATCATTGTAGTTAGATGTAATGTCCAAAACAGTTCAAAAAAGGGGATTGAGGGACTTCTTATGCTCTGGAGGGTTGCAAAGATTTTTTCATTATTCATTTCTTAGGGGCCACATGCTTATGAGCCTTGGCAGTTGCTATGATCAAGGCAGTTGGCAGACTGTATCTTGAGCAATGCCCAGTTAGCCCACTGAGTGCAAATTATGTGACAGGATGAATGATGCAAGATAATTCTGTGCTGGCTAAGGGCATGATATTCTCTTCATTGTGAATTTGTTTACTGTTATTGGTACCACCTGCATGACAAGTATAATGATATGTTTGATATTATGAATGTTTCAGCTTGGAAGAGCTTCCAAGCAAATTAAGAGGGCTTGTCAGAAACTCAAAGAAAGTAGAAGCTGAAATAGCTGCTCTCAAGATTTCGTACCTCAAGAGAATTAACAAAGGTTCCAACATCATTATCCTGGACTCGTGAGTTCATTTCTTACCCTTCTAACAACTCATATGTTAAAGATAACTAATGAATTGAAGTTTTGATTAAATTCAAAATTTAAATTGATTTCTGCTCTGCCATTTTCTGTTAATAAAACTTGAGAAATTTGGTAATCCTGTTAAATTATCAGGTACTCTGATACAGCCAAAATAGTTGCAAGGGCACTAACAAGTCTTGGCTTTAAGAACTGCTGGATTGTGACTGATGGGTTCTCTGGGAGCCGAGGATGGTTACAAAGCCGGTTAGGAACAGAATCATACAATGTATCTTTTGCACAGGTTCTGTCACCTTCTCGTGTCATCCCTGCAGCAGTTAAACGCTTTGGTACTACCAGCTCGACAGTGCTCCAATCAAATCAAAAGTTTCTTCCTGGGAGCTCAAGCAATTGATTTTTTTAATTTTTTATTAAATCAATAATCTAAGTATGCATTCTTCACCAAAATTATGATCTTTACAGTAATTTCTTGTAATTCTTTGAGGATTATGAATCAATTTGTCTAAGTTGTGTTGTTCTACTAATATTTGTGGCATGGATTTGCTTCCCTATCCGTTCTGCAATTTTGTTCTGGTAGTAGATAATCTGATGCTTGATGTCTCTACAATATAATCTCTCAATGCATTGAAAAGGATAAAATTGCATTGAATATTGGGGTTTATGACATTCACTAAGCTCTCGTGTATTGTAGAGGTCTTTAGTACAGTTGCAATTTTCTTCTGGCAAACAGTTTGCTTCACTTTTTGTTCAGGCTAGAACTGTATTCAACATGAAAAAAAAAAAATCTAAAAGAAGGTTATTCATAATCATTATAGCATCATAGCCTGCTAGTGGAGGTGGTATATACTATCTGATTCTCCATCACTCCATGGACCATGGTTACTTCTATGGCTAGTTCTCCATTACTAAATGGAGGGATACCATGGGTTTATACTATGCCTACAAATATGGGAACCTTATGAACGCAAAATATTCTCTTGAACTGCATTCATAAAATGTTCATAACTTATCAATGGGTAACTTGCATGGGATTTCAAATGCCATGTGAAGCTGAAATTCACCATCTTGGCCAGTCTTCTCTTGACAGAAAAGGTTTTGCAAACCAAAGTTGCTTTGAAAAAGACCAGAATAAGCAAGGTTATAGTTTGAGCTTTGGATATGCATGGATGTGATAAGAAACCAAAACATCCTGCAAATCTATTAATAATATTAAATCTGAGGGTCAAGTTACTTTGGATAAAGTATAAACACATATTTTAGTTGTTTGTGTTCTTGTGAAGTGTGAATTATTCGGATGTGCTTAGGAAATGGTGGAAAAATTGAAATATGCATATATACCTAGGAGATCAAAATAAATCACTTTAATACTAAAAAACAAATAAATTTATTGATCAACTAATTATTTTCTTTCTATTTATTTTCAATTTTTGGTTGAAAGCTTGAAATGGTACCAACAAGAGGAAGTTCCCACAGAAAATTGTGGCACAGAGTTTTTTTTTAAACATCCAACTACATTATCCATGAGTAAGGTGGCATTTGGTAAAATTGAATTCTGATCTTTGAGAAAGCAAAAAGGATCCGAATATAGCTTAGATTCTGAATATCTAGAGTTTGGTTTTTTGCTTTTATGTTCTCTAATTGTAGTTGAACTATTTGAATATATGTTATAATACCTGAAAATAGATTATTTTGCATATTTACCCCTAGTTTTCCTTGGGCTCGGTTTGGAAGAAGTACAAATTTGTATTTGTATTCCTTCCAAACTGAGCCTTAGATGGAGAAGAAAGTAGGGTAAAATGAGATTAATAAAAGATATGGTTACTAATAACATTGGCTCTACTAAACAAGAGAAGCAAAAGAGATGGTGGTTTGAGAGAAAGGTAGGGTTTTAGGAGTCTGAATCTAATCCCAACAAGCCATTATGGTTGTATAAGGGAGGTGTACCCGATGCATGGCTGCAATAGCTTGTCACTTGTCAGGACATTGTTCAGACATGTGTTGGGACCAGATCCAAATTCAGGCTTAATAAAAGATATAGGCATTTTCTGTTATAGATGTGGTTTCGAGCCCCGCTATCGGTTCTCGCCACCATTTGAACAAGAGTTATTTGATAGTTGCTGACAAAGTGTTTTACTGAGTCAAAATTAAAAATGACCCCTATGGGACCAAAAAAGGTAATAAAACATCGTTTTTAACGAGTTGGGATTTGCTCGGAACAAAATTCATTTCCTTCCAACATGACACCATACATCTCATTATCAGACTAGAACCCACCATAGATAAGATGTGCAATATCAATATCAATGTATTATGTCACCTTGGAAGGTATTTATTGGGAATAGAGGTGTAAACAGATTGAATTCGAATCAGATTAGGTAATATTTGAATTCAAATCTGATTAGAAAATTTGAAATCCAAATTCGATTTGATATCTGATAAATATTGAAAATTAATATTTAAATTCGAATCTGATTAAATATTCGAATAATTGATTCGATTAGATTCAAATTTGATTAATTAATTATTTTAGATAATTAATAAATATATAAAATAAATATTTTATTGATATAAAGTATATAAATTATTTATATAATTTAATTATTATATATATAAATTATATAAAATATTTTATATATTATATATAAGAAATAAATAATCGGTCAAATTCGGATATTTATCGAATCAAATCAAGTCATATCCAAATTCGAAACCAATTAACTATTCAATATGAATAGGATATCCAAATTCAACCAATTAGATATTTGAATTATCTGAATTTGATTCGATTATGTCGAATATCGAATTCAAAATCAGATTTTTGAATATTGTTGACACCCCTAATTGGGAGTATATCTATTCTTTTTTCTTAGTTCACAAAAGAAAAATGGGCTACTAAGGTTATATTTGGTTCACTGAGCCTCATTCTTTTAATTCTTGTTTAGGATAAGCAGGAAAAGCGGGAATGGGCAAGAATGAATAACACCCTTAACCTTCAACTCAGAAGACCCCTAAGGAATTTGGAAATTTCTGAATTAATAACCTTAATCCAGACCCTTAAAGAAGCTTACATCTCCCCCTCCAAGTCTGACACCCGAATCTGGACCCTGCACCCCACTGGCAAATTCTCTTCTAAGTCTATGTTTAAGGCTTTGACTATTGATGATCATCATCCCCCCTTTCCTTCCAAGAAGATCTGGTGCAGCCACATCCTCTCAAGAGTATGTTTCTTTGTCTGGGAAGCTTGCCTCCAGAAAGTTAACACTTGTGATCTCTTGCAAAAAAAGTTTCTAGGAAGACTGTTTATCTCCCCTCATGTTTGTTTTTTATGCCTATGCAAAGGACAATCAGCAGATCACATTTTTCTTCACTGCAAATTCACCAAAAAGATTTGGTTCCATTTTTTGAAAATGGCAGGTTATAGTTGGGCTACACCAAAGCATGTTAAGGACTTTATACATCAGTGGCAAGGAACAGGTCTAAGTAAGAGGGGTAAAATTTACTGGCAATCAATGTTACACGCAGTGCTGTGGGGTGTTTGGGATGAAAGAAACAAAAGGCTTTTTGACAATAAATCAAGGTCCTTGGAGGAGTTAATTTCAAACACCTCTTACTTGTGCAACCTTTGGATGGTGAATTCTGACCTTTTCAGTGTCTCAGTCAATGACCTCAATAGAGATGCTTACCCTTTCTTATTTCTCCCTCACCACCATCAATCACCCCTTGAGGTTTCTTGAACCCATCAGTGAAGGTGAGATGATATTAAATTTTGATGGAAGTACTTTAGGTAATCCTAGATTGGCTGGTATTGGAGGAACATTAAGGGATGAAAGGGGCAACATCTGTTGGACTTTCAGCGGTCCAATAGGTGTGGCAGATTCCACAAAGGCTGAAGTAATGGCTGCCCTCGCAGGAATCAGAATAATAAAAAGCTTGGGAATTCAAAATATAACAATTATCGGTGATTTAGCAAATACTATTAAATGGTTAAGAAACAAAGAGGGGGTGCCTTGGCAGATTCCACAAAGGCTGAAGTAATGGCTGCCCTCACGAGAATCAGAATAATAAAAAGCTTGGGAATTCAAAATATAACAATTGTCAGTGATTTAGCAAATACTATAAAATGGTTAAGAGACAAAGAGGGGGGGGGGGGGCTTGGAGATTAAGTCACTATTTAGAAGAGGCCAGGGACTCCATTGGATTGCCTAAATGTTTGGATTCCTAGGGAACACAATCATAGAGCAGATGATTTAGCTAAATGTGGCGTATTCTTAGAGTAGCTATATAGCAACAAGGTTCCTCCATTGTAGTTTGTAGGGGTTCTTCCCTTGCTTTGTACATCTTCTCATGTGCCTCTTTTTATTAATGAATCTTGGTTAACTTTTTTCAAAAAAAAAACATTAAAGTATTCTTGACATAGGCCTCATTCTTTTTAAATGAAAAATCATCCTATAACACAAAAATTGAGGTAGCATTTAACATGAAAAATAACCATGCCCCATCTTGCTCATTTTTCATTCTTTAAAGAAACTCTATGTTGTTGGCCTAAGTCTACAGAGTTGTCACCATAGATGTTTACTAGCGGACTTCATGGAAACTTATGTTGACAGGAATTGACCGTTGGCCATCTGTTGATAAACATCTATGCCAACGGTTTTGGAGACCTAGGTCGATAGTTTATGACCGTTGACACAAAGTTTTTTTGAAGAATGAAAATTAGCAACATAAGACACTTGTCAGTTTGAAAAAAAAAATCATTTTTTAGGAAAAAAGCATTTGGTTTATAACAATATTTTTTCATTTTGCCCATATTTACCCATTCTTGTCCATTTTAAAATTTCATCTTGGGTAAGAATGAAAACGAATGAGAGTTAAAGCAAACATGGCCGATCCACTAAAAGCAATTTCAATATCCCCCAAATCCATAACCCCCGAGCACGATTGATCCCTAGTTCTCCGCTCCAAGCAGGTAGACCAAAGAGCATACCAACTAGAGTCCGAATCTCCTAAACACGTTCCAACCCCCTACAAATATGATCTGACACCACACGTCTCATTCATGATGGAATGGGGCCTAGTTTTATGGTGACCTGCCGTGTTAGATGAAGTTGGTAGGGATTGGAACGTGTTTTGCTAGTAGGAAATCCCAGCTTGTATCAATTGGTAGGTTGGTGCTCTTTGAGCTGGTCTATCTTTTCAAACCTCAAAGGCTCAAACGTCTGAGTTCAAATCAGCCCCCCACAATGTCCCACAGCACATCCCTGCCATGTATCGGGAACATCTCCCGATGATAATACTTAGAATGATGATATCATCATTTGGAGATGTTTCCAAAACACTGAGAATGTATTGTGGGACATTGTGAGAAGCAATTTTGTGGGGGGGCTCATTCGATCTCGTCCGAATTCAAATCAGCCTTCAGAAGACTCCCCACAATCTCCCACAGCACATCCCTGCCGTGTATTGATGAACGTCCATTTAGTGCAAATAAACGAGCCGTAAATACGACTAAATAGACGTCAATTTAGTGCAAACTAAACGACGGGATTTTGACAGGTAAGCATTTTTCTTTGGTACTCGTGTTATGGGACTAACACGACGGGGATTTTGGTCCCGAGTCTCCGCTACAAAGTACAAACATCCGGAGAGCGGAGTCCACCATCCATCACCGCTGCCACCGGGATTTGACAGGTAAGCATGTGCATTGTCATCTTTGTTCAACTACCCCAATTCCCCAAACCCAATCATTCACCGATTAAAAGTAACTTAACGCATTTCATTAATGTTTAGTTGGTGAGACTCGAGACTTGAGAGTGACTATCTATCCTTCCCTCCCTTGAAGGATACTACCCATCAGACGATAAAGAGTTGAGATCTTCTGAGTCACGAAGGACTATTGTTGATTAGATTTGTACTGAGTCATCACCCACTTCGCTCTACGTGGCACAATTGATTTCAGACTTGCACTGTGTCATAACTCATAACCCACTCCGTCTAAGCTCGACTCTAGAGGTGTAAATCGGGCCATGCGGCCCGTGGCCCGGCACGATGGTCTGCAGGCTGTACCAAGCCCAATATGATCATGTGGGTCATACTGGGTCAGGGGTTTTTTAATTTTATTATACTTGATTGTGTGCGACCTGGTCACTCCTAACTGGAAGTGGTTGCGCTCCTAGCTGGCGACGGACAGGAGGTACCTGTGAGGAAGAAGATGAAGGATCCCGGGGGGCTCACCCAGCGGGAACACTCTGACGGTCAAGTTAGTAAGTTGGGGAGAGCAAAAGAGAGAGCTGTAGAGAAATTAGAGCTAGAGTGATGATCACGCAATACCTTCGCCCCTAGGAGTCAGGGTCTTTATATACTGGTATTCTGACTTGTCAGGTGTAACCGCCTCCAAATCTCTGTTGCGGCGATCTGCTATCAAATAACGGCTTAGAGTGGTTGGCCGTTATTTGTCAGAGCTGAGCTATTGGGCAAAGGTGGCTGCTGCAGAGTACGGCCCTGACAGCCTCCAGGGTTGGCAGGCACGACGCCGCCAGACGAGAGACGTGGGTGCAGTCTCCAGGTTTGGCCGGTACAGTTGTCAGGCAGAAAATATTCTATGATACGCCGAACTGCTCTGTAGCGAGCTACCTTACACCGAGCTGCTGGTGATGCACCGAGGTGCTTCTCCGAGGCGGGTCCCTGAGGTAGCCTTAGGTAGGAGCGAACTTATGTTAGGGAGCTGACGAGCTTAACCCGAGGTGTTTTCAATTCGGGATTCTCCCTACTTGGAGAATCTTAGCTTGGGGTGCTTCTTACTTGGGGAGTCTTAGCTCGGGGCAACGGGGTATCAACTTGTAGCGAGCTGCCGCTTTGGGCGGGCTGTCAGATTGGGTCAGCGAGCTTCGTTATGCTGAGTTGTTCCGAACTCATTAGGATGAGCTGTCACTTATGTCGAGTCACGTCCACGTGTCCCCTTATTATGAGGTCGGGCCAAATCACCCTCCATCAATACTAATTTATTTAATTATTGTATATATAAGCAATTGCATATGCAAAATTCATATAAAATTAAAATTTTAAATTTTTTTTATCAATTTTTTTAAATAAATAACTTTGGCCCGATGCACGACCCGACCTAGCCCAAAACTCGATCCATGGGCCAAGGCCTCTGACCCCAAAATTTTCATTTTGGAGGGAGGCACGGCTCGTAACGGCACGCAGGCCAGCACGGCACCCCGTACAAAGGGCCGTGCCGTGTCCACTTTACACCTTTATTGATCCATAACATCTGTGTAGCACTGGGACCCATTATCCGTGCTCCTAGCCCTCATCACCTGGGTCACTGGGTGAAAAGTTCCAATCCAACAGTTGTAAGTTATGTAACCTCCGATTGTTCGACCTACTGCTATTGGAATGTTTATCCAAGGATACCATAACCATACCATCTCTGAGTCACGGACTAACGAGTCACGACCCTCCCTACTCACTATTCACTACTAGCACGCTATATTCCATATTTGTGGTGTGAGATAGATTTGTAAGTAATACAAGAAAAGGGTCTGTAAACTTAGCATTTTCTTTATTTCTTTTTGGGGTTTTTACCGTTCAGTCCACCTCTGAAATCCTAACTCCATCATATAGGTGCCAGCTCGGAAGCCAATTCCATTTTTTTGTAGTGTTTTGATGTTTTCATCTTCTTGCGTTGTGATGATATACTAGTTCTGTCAGTGTCTGTCTATCCATTCCACCTTCTCTTATTCTCACCGGTTGCTGACACGACCAGAAGTAGAAGAACTCGAACAACAAAAATGGCGATCAAAAGCTTAGATTGCGTTACAGTAGAAGATATCACGGGGCTTGGGATATCTTCTGATGCTGCAAAGAAGCTCCACGGAGACCTGACTGAAATCCTCCGGGAAAACGCCAATTCAGCTGCAGATACATGGAAGAAAATCAGCAAGAGAATTCTGAACCCTAATCTACCTTTTGCGTTCCATCAGATGATGTACTACGGATGCTTCAAGGATTTCGGCTCTGATCCTCCTGCTTGGATTCCCGACCAGTAAACTTGTCCTAAACTCCTAATTATATATATATTTTTTAGTTTTTATTTCTTCCTTTATTTATGTTTTGCGAAGATTTCACGTTGTAGTTGCCATAAAATGGAATTGTAGTCCATGAAGTTATTGTTTAATATATAAGTTTTTTGGTTATCTAAAAGAATTCACTGATCAATGTCACTTCTGGGAAAGAAAATGGCATTGGGTTGAAGAAACGAAAAGAAAGATGAGACAATTTGCGTAACTTGTTTACGATGATATAGACGAATTTTATATGCTTCCTTGGGAAACACTTACCCGGTAAGTGCATTTACCCTAACTAATTTATCGAAAAGCGAACGGAGCCTAAAAAATCAAACAACTCTGCTCATCCTTAATTCTAAACTCTCTTAACTTAAAAAGTTACACCAAATGGGGTTTTCCAAGCTTCCCCTCAAATTAAGTGGTGTACAAACTCAAAAGATTCTTATGTATACATTTTTAGAGTTTGCGTTACTAATCCCAAAGAGGAACGGATCAATGGAAGCATTTGAAAGAAAAAAGTATTTCTTTTTAATGTGAAAATTGGGAGTTGAGCATAAAGGATGCATAACCTTTTGTTATGAATTACCTGATATATGGCAGGGAGACTGCGATCTTAACAAATGTTGGTCGTTTTCTAGAGAAACGTGGAAAAGAGTTTCTTGGCTCAAAATATAAGGACCCTATCACAAGCTTCTTGGATTTCCAGGAATTTTCAGTCTCCAACCCTGAGGTATCATTGCTACCATCTTAAATTTTGGCTGATGGTAATTTTTATATATTTTTATTTCAGTCCCTTCCCATCTTTCTAGGTTTACTGGAAAATGGTATTAGATGAAATGAACATATCATTTTCTGTACCCCCATCATGTATTTTATATGAGCATACCTCCGAGGGAGGTCATTTGTCTTACCCTGGAGGTCAATGGTTACCGGGGGCAATTCTAAATTGTGCGGAAAATTGCTTAAATCTGAATGGAAAGAGGAGCTTAAATGATACAATGATCATATGGCGTGATGAAGGAGATGACAATCTACCTGTGAAACATATGATGCTTAAGCAACTCCGTTCAGAGGTCTGGTATGTTATGTTCTATTCTTCTTACCATAATCTAATTATCTGACAGTCTTTATGTTCTTTAATGGGATGTTTTTACAATTATAATCTGAAGAATTACATATCTATGCATGGGCAGGCACTTGATTCACTCATTGAAAAAATAAAAACTGGTTAGTTCATGCTTGTTGCTTCTCTGCTATGCCTTAAATAACATTCTGTTCTTTCATATACAACATTCAATAGTATAATATTATATTAATTTAGTTTGAAATGATTTTATCTGCAACCATAATCTTTGAAGTTCTGTCATATGATAAATAGATGGATATCGTTTAATTTTTCATTCTAGGCAACTTTTGTTAATGAATTAAATTACAGAAAAATCACTGGTTGAATTTTTATTCAGTCTGACTGGGTTAACACAAGATTATGTGGCATCTATCTTTCTCACACACCATTTCTTTTCATGGTTAGTTGTCTTGGACTATTAGAGCTTGAAAATTCATGATCTAGTGGTCAATTTTGAATCTATCAGGTTTTAGCTTGTCAAATCATGATCTTAATAAAAGCGGTAAAAATTTAAATAGAAAAGGATGAATAAGACAGTGGGTTTTATGGGTGAATATATGGCTGACAGTTTAGTTTAATAAAGGATAGGTTTCAGGGTTTCAGTTAATGATACATGTTGAGGAAGGGAGAGGGAAAGAGATATGAGAACAAACAAAATTTTGACTAACTCTATATTGCTTAAAAAATGTTGAAAATAATTAGAACTGCTCAAGCAACAAATCAAGTATGCTTTGGGTGTACTAGTAACTCTTTAGTCTATTCATAACTGACCTGATTCTGATTTTGTTGTATCCATCTTTCAAGATTGGAAGATGGTGGTAGTGGATTCTTTTAGTTTATTTTTATCATTTTGTAGTTATATAATCCATATCCAAATGTGGCCTACATGTTCATAAACTTAAACAAATGTTTTTACTTTAGTGATACATGTAGAAATGAACCAGATTGATGAACTCCATTCTGCAGTCCTTTAATTGCTTTGCACAAGTTTTCTTTTTCTTTCTTTCTTTCTGTTTTTTTTGAAAAAGGTAATGCTTATAGAAGAATAAAGAGGATTACAATACAATATGGTCTGCCTCCAAGGGCACCTTTAGCTCTATAGGGTGAGAAAGATAAATCCCAAGGATCAAACCGTGAAACAGACTTGATAAGGTACATCAACAGAAATTCCCTGTTACATCCTGAACAAATTATTACCAGATAGGAAAGATTGAGCAGAACAATTACTACAAACATTTTCCACCGAGACCTAAGAAGATAGCCTCCACATAGCTTCTCATCTGCTGCAAAAACTCTTAGATATCTTTGTTAAATGCTAAGTTTGTTAGAAGATGATTTAACAGATGACGAACCTCTGAAATATTTAACACTCTTAAATTCTTCAAACTTTGGTCTGGTTGAATATATTTTGATGTGCTATATTGTAGGTTGGTTGCATATGCACTTGATACACTGGGCTTGGCTAAAGGATCTGCAATTGCAATAGACATGCCAATGAATGTTACTGCCGTTGTCATCTATCTAGCTATTGTTTTGGCAGGCTATATTGTTGTATCCATTGCAGATAGCTTTGCCCCTCTTGAAATATCAACACGACTCAAAATATCTAATGCAAAAGCAATCTTTACCCAGGTATTCTTTTTGAAATTTACTCAATTTATTTATTTTTAAAAATTTTAATGTAGTACAGTGAATGAACAAATCTGCAAATTTCCCGTTCCGCTTTTTTTATTAGTAACTGTTAAGTGCTAACTTTTAAGGATTACCACCCCCCCCAACAAAAAAAAAAAAGAAAAGAAAAGAAAAGAAAAGGAAAGAGTTGCAAAGAAAACATGCCAAACATCCCTTACTATCAAGATCCCTGTACAACAAGACGATGTACAAAGGGAAACAAAATCCTTCTCCAAAAACCCTTACAAAGCCACTATCCTTTGATTGTTCACAGAAAGAGTTTCAAGAGAAAAAAAGTCCTGTAATTTCTTCCTTCAAAATATTTATGTATACTCATCTGTGAAAGTACTTTTCCAACAACTTTTTGAAATAATACATCAGCTGAACACAGTTGATTGCAGAAGATTCTTCATTTCTTTCTTGCCAGATGACCCAGAAAATAGCTGCCAGAATTAATTCCGCACAACTTTCCCTTTTTGAGTCAAACCTTCCTGGTGCCAACCATCTAACCCTATAACTGAGAATGCATTATGCTCAATACATTCTCTATTTTTGCTTCAAATAATGCATCTGTGTGCTCCTCTTTCGAAGGCCCCCTTGGTAGAAAATGCCTACCCCTAGCTAACTTGGGGGATGATGGTAATTCATGATCCACAAAATGGAACCCGAACAAATGGAATGATCAAGGGAAATCACGTTCAAGGACAGGAATTTTCTAAGATGAACTTGCCCCTGTAATTTCTGTTTAAGAATGCTGAGTTCAGTTTGGAATTGATTGTTTTCAGGCATAAAATTTTTCATGAAGGAATATAACGAGTGACATTGTAGCCATGACATTGGTTTTATAATTCAACATCTTACAGATAGAAGTTCTTATATCTATTATTCTTTGTGAATTTAGAAATGCTTCTATCTAGATACTCATTTAAAAATGTAACATGTTATTTGTTTTAAAAGAAAATATATATCGGCCTAACCATTTTCACCCTAAATATTTTTTTCCCTCAGGATGTTATTATCCGTGGTGACAAAATACTACCTTTGTATAGGTGATGTTCATATTACACTTTTCAAGGAGCTATTCTATTTTATTTTCTGGTTTATGACAGTATCTTGCTCAGGTGTGCTTTGCAATAATGCAGTCGGGTTGTTGATGCTCAAGCACCTCTAGCAATTGTTGTCCCTAGTAGAGGTTCTAGCTTAAAAATGGAATTGCGTGGCTGTGACATGTCTTGGCATGCATTTCTAGAAAGAGTAGAACATTTCAAGTATGTTCTCTTATGAGTATTTTATTTCTAATTTTTTCTCCCATTTATACCTACATTCAATTTTTCATGTTGTTCCAGTGTATCCATCAAATCAGATACTTGTTCCTCTATGTTGATGTTATAATTGATGCTTAGAAGCATTGACTAGTTGTGTTTAGGAGTTTGCTATTTGAAATGAAAGGTCAAGGTCAGAAAAATTTGGGAAAACCAGGATAATTGGCTGATGAAAAATTCATTTAGAGATTGTTTGTGATGAAGTTATCAGTATTTTTTTGTAATATATTAATGTTTTGAGAATAAACCAAAGGTAAGAGCAATGGACTTTCTCTTTCTTTGTGTGCGTGCCTTCATGTGTATGCATGCGTTAGTTAATTCTGCTAAACAGTAGTTAAACCAAAGGCAAGAGCATTATGTTGAACAACTTGATGGTTTGACAAAGTTAGTTAAACTTTTCTCAACTTGGAAAATTTTGATTGTTCAAACAGTGAAACATCCATTTTTGTCTGGTTTCCAAAGCAATTCTCAAGGGTAACATGTCTCAAGTATATTTTAAATAAACCTTTGAATATGAGAAGGAGCAAAATGCAATCAAACTGAATGAAAAAGGGATTGTACTGTTGCTATTTTTAGTTCTCCCAAACTTTAGTTCTCATTTGTAAATAATCTTTTATGGAAATCATGAAGTAGATATTTATCCTGAGATTTTAATTGCACTTTTCCTGTCAAAATTGCAGAAAAGATGAATTTGCTGCAGTACAACAACCTGTAGATGCATTCACAAACATCCTGTTTTCATCTGGAACTACAGGTAACTTGCACTTTTCCGTCTTAAGTTTTTTGTTTTTTTTTGACGGCAGATCTCTCTTTTTACTTTATCATATAGTTGTTCTTTTTTTGTTCTGTATTATCCATCCCCGCTGTACAGTCTTTCAATGTAAATGGGCTGATTGTATATTTTGACTTGTTTTGATTAATACATTATATTACCTTACTTTTTTCAAGAAAAAAAGTTCCACTCTGCATGTTGTCATCATACATTGAACTACAGTCTTTATCTCGGTAGCTGACATCCTTGATGCCCGTATGAAAAGAGCAGTCAAATTGAATCTTTTAAGAGGTTTCCAGGTGGGTCGTGATGACATCCTAATCTTTCATCTCCAATATGCTGATGATACCATCTTTATTGAAAACAGGGATTATCTCCATGATTTCAAGCACTTACCAAAGTGCTTTGAAGCAGTGGCAAAGCTGAGGACAAATTTAAACAAGACCAGCATTATTGGAATTAACACCCCCCTGCAAGTAGTGGAAGAATTAAAAGAGGCTCTGGGTTGCAGAATCTAATCTTGGTCGATTAAGTACTTTGGACTCCCTCTTGGTGGAAACCCAAAATCTTCTAGTTTTTGGGATACAGTTATTGAGAAGTGTGAGAAGCAGCTTGGAATTTGGAAAAGGAATTATATTTCAAAAGGCTGATAAAAAAATTATATTTCAAAAGGTGGTATGTTGACTTTGATCAAGGATACACTTTCCAATTTTCCCACCTATTTTCTCTCGGTGTTAAGATCCCAGCAAAGGCGAGGAAGAGAATTGAAAAGCTGCAGTGAGGTGTTTTCTGGGAAGGAGGGGAGAAAAGTGATCATTCAGTCAATTGGGAAACTGTGTTCAAGCCTAAGAAGGAAGGTGGTTTGGGTCTGGAACACATCTTCGAAAGAAATAAAGCACTTCTTGGCAAATGGATTTGGAGATTTAATTTTCAGCAAATATGGTCAAAACATCTTGGACAGGAGCAACTCTCCTCCTTTATCTGGGTTCACGGCCTCTAACCCTTGGAAAGCTATTATTCGAACCCTTGACTTCTCTCTTTTTTGAGATTTAATCTTGGCAATGGTAGTCAAATCAGATTTTGGTTAGAACTTTAGTGGGGCCAAAAACCCGTTAGTGAAACTTTTCCTTCCTTATTTAGATTATCTCAAGCCTCGAGATAAATCAGACCCTACCATCAGCTGCAGTAACATGGGCCTCTCTTTTAACTTTAACTTTCATAGAGCCCTTAAGGACTCCTTAAGGACTCAGAAATCTGTGAAGCTTCTTTTTTACTTTCACTCCTTTCCGATGTCTTCATCTCACCCTCCTCCCCTGATAAGCTTGTTTGGTCCTTGATTCCTAATGGATCCTTCACCACAAAGTCCTTTTTCCTTAAGCTAATAGCCAATCCTTCCTCCTCTCCCTTTCCGGACAAAAGAATCTGATCTCCACCGTTCCCCTTAAAGCCTCCTTTATTTGGGAGACTGCCCGTGGAAAATTAAATACCTGTGATATCCTCCAGAAGAATAAGTTTGGAAGACTCAGCTTCTCTCCCAATGTTTGTATTTTATGCCTGAGTGATGGGGAATCCATAGGCCATCTTATTAATTGCCAGGTAACTAGAAAGCTATTCCCCATGCAGTCATGTGGGATTTATGGGAAGAACGCAATAGGGGAAATCTATCAAAAAAAAAAAAAAAAGAATGCAATAGGGGAATCCTTGAGGACAGAATCTCCCCAGAAGAGACAATTGGAGATCATTGCCATTCTTTGATTATCCTGTGGATGATGTACAGCAAGGTCTTTGATGGTCCAAATAGAGGAGAAGTGCAGATAAACTAGCTTGATCTGCTTCTCATGTCCCCAAATCAAGGCAAGACAGAGATTTCATTCTGAATTTTGATGGGAATTTTAGAAGAGTCCTAGATGCCCCTGTGGCTGCAAGAATTTAGGGCCTTTTGAGAAGACTCAGTGGTGACCGGTTTTGGGTTTACAGTGGCCCAACCTCCTCTATAGATGCAACAAGTGCTAAGGTTCGTGCTCTTTTAGAAGGTCATAGCATTGCAAAAGCCCAGTAGTTCACTTCTCTTGCAGTACAAAGGGACTCACAAATGTCATATGTGAACCGAATTGAGAGCAAGAAGAAAACAGAATTAGGGGTGTCAAGAATAGTCGACCCCCACCCCAAAGAGTCTCTTTTATATTAAAGAGATAAAAGATATGTACAGTTGCAAGAATGCCCTTACAGGGCTGAAAGATAAAAAGAACAAATAAAATAATAAGAATACGATACTGTACAACAAGGACTACTCTAATAGTGTACATCAAGGTATATCTTCACACTCCCCCTCAAACTGATGCGTACAAGACTGAGGTGTTGACTTTTAGTCATGGCCTTGGTGAAGATGTCGGCAATCTGCATGTGAGAGGCTACATGAGGAAGAGACATATAGCCTGCAACAAGAAGGTCTTTAATAAAGTGACAATCCACCTCGATATGTTTAGTCCTCATGAAAGACTGGATTAGATGTGATCTTGATAGCGTTGGTGTTGTAGGCATACAGAGGGATATGAGTAGGAAGAGGAGTACCAAGATCCATGAAAAGAGACTTCAGCTAAACAATCTCGCTACATACAGAAGACATAGCTCTATACTCGGCTTCAGTAGAAGACTTAGAGACAGTTTGCTGTTTCTTGCACTTCCAGGAGATGAGAGAGTCACCCATGAAGATGCACCACCCAGTAATGGATCGGCGAGTGTCGAGGCAACCAGCCTAATCAGCATCAGCATAAACCCTCAACTGTATGGATGATGAGGAAGAGAAAAAGTCCCTGAGAGGTTGTGTCTTTAACATAACGGATGATGTGGCGAAAGCAGTCATGAGGTTGTCGTGGGGTAGAGACAAATTGATTGACGACCTGAACAGCATGTGAAATATCAGGCCTGGTCATAGTAAGATAGATTAAAGAGCCAACAAGCTGACGGTACAAGGTAGCATAAGGAAGGATGAGGCCTTCGGATTTAGATAGCTTGACATTCAGCTCTAGGGGGGTATCAACATGTTTCCCATCAGTGAGTCCAGCTAATTTGACGAGATTGGAGGCATATTTTTGTTGACAAATAAAATACCCTCGACTGCTATGATGAACCTCCAAACCCAAGAAGTAAGTAAGAGGACCCAGGTCCTTCATATGAAATGAGTTATGAAGTAAGAACTTCAGCTCACAAATGCCATCATGATCATCCCCAGTTAGAAGCATGTCATCAACATACAATAGGAGGATAGTGATACCCTGGGGTCTTCACTTAACAAAGAGGGAGTAGTAAGAGGAACTTTGATTATACCCAAGTGCAACAACAATATCCTAGAAGCGCTCAAACCAAGCCCTGAGTGCTTGCTGTAGACCATATAGAGACTTCTTTAGGCGACAGGCACGTGAATGATCACTGCAATATCTAGGCGGAGGTTTCATGTAGACTCTCCTTCAGTTCACCATGAAGAAAAGCATTCTTCACATCTAGTTGGTAAATAGTCCAGGAATGAACAACAAATATGGCCATAAGAGTCCGAACTGTGGTGACCTTAGCAACTGGGGCAAATGTTTCTTCATAATTAATCCCATATTCCTGATTGTATCCTTGGGCAACTAACTGGGCCTTATATCGATCAAGGGAACCATCTGACTTCAGTTTGGTTGTATAGACCCAACGACTTCCAACAATAGAAGCATCTGGAGGAGCTAGCACAAGCTCCCAAGTATCATTCTCATGGAGGGCTTGAATTTCGGCATCCATGGCTTCTTTCCACTAAGAACTTCTAATGGCTTGCTGATAAGATCTAGGGATATCTGTGGAAGAAAGTACAGCAGAAAAGGAACTATGGTTTGAAGGAAAACCATAGCGGTTCGGGGGTCGAGAAATACAGGTAGAATGATGAAGTGGAATAACGGAACTACTATATGAAATAGGAGGATCTTGGTTAAGGTATCACTTATAGAGGATATCAGAGATGGATGCTCTAGACCGGGTGGAAGGGGGGTTGTAGGCGCAGGAGCTGGGACACGTAGCCGCTTGCGGGTGAAGACGAGAAAATCTCTCTCAATTGAGGAAGTAGTAGTGTCATCTGAATCAAAGTCCTGCAAAATAGAGATGGAAGGAGTAGACAATCTAGCAACCCCAGCAAAGAAGGAGATATGTTCAAGAAACACCATTCCGGGAAATCCGAATACGACGGATAGTAGGATCATAGCACAAAAATCCTTTGTGGTCAGGACTATATCCCACAAAGGTACACATAGCAAACTGAGCAGTGAATTTAGATCGTTCACGAACAGGAAGATGAACAAAACAAAGACAACCAAAAACATGAAGACTAGAGAAATCTGGGGGATGACCAAAAGGTTTTTGGAAGGGAGAAGTGTTGCCTAGAACAAAGGAGGGAAGAAAATTGATCAAATACACGGCTGTACTGGCTGCTTCTACCCAAAACGAAGTTGGAGTATGAGACTCCTGTAGTAATGTCTGCACAACACTGAGAATATGTCCATTCTTCCGTTCAGCCACACCATTCTGTTATGGAGTGTCTGGGCAGCTGCGCTGAGACTGAATTCCATAACTCCTCAAGTAGGCCAGAAAGTCTCCGTCTCTATATTCTCCCCGTGAATCTGAGCGGAGGATAGTCACATCGCACTTGAATCGATTTTGCACCATAGTATGAAATAATTTAAATGCACCAAAGACTTCTGATTTGTGTTGCAGAAAATAAATCCAAGTATATCTAGTACAATCATCTATAAATAATACAAAATATCTGTATCCCAATCGTGAAGTAATAGAAACAGACCAAACATCACTATATATTATCTCAAAAGGTTTAGTGGCATGTTTAGATGTATGAAGAAATGGTAAAACATGACTTTTACTCAAAAAACACGTAGTGCAAGAAACACCAAAAGTATGAACAGGAGGAATTTTATTCTTAATCAAACTAGAGTCAAACAAAAATTTTAATTTTTGGGAATATGGATGACCCAACCGTTTATGCCATAATTTTGTTTTGATGAATGAGGAAATTTATTAATTCAGAAAAAAACACCACTAAAGAGGCATGAGCTGTTACCTCTTCAGAAAAGTATTACATCAAAATAAAACAGAATTAACCATAAATGAAATTACAAAGCAGCCCAAAATAGCTGCTCCCTTGTAGCCCCCTGCTTAGCTAACCCATCCACTAAGGTGTTTGTTGATCTTCCCACCCATAGAGAGGTAACGGTCATATTTCTTGTAAGCCAGTTTACTCTCCTTAATAAATCTCTGTGTTGCCACATGGCTGAAACTGGGTCTTTCAACCATCCCACCATAATTTGAGAGTCTCCTTCAACTACCAAGTGCTGAACCCCTAATTGTTCTGCAATCTGAATACCTTGTACCGCCGCTAAAATTTCAGCTCTATTAGAGTCTCCTATTCCCACAGGGCCTGAGAACAAGGCTAATATGTTGCTCTCCATGTCTCTCAGCACCCCTCCTATCCCCGATGGGCCTGGGTTTCCTTGGCTGCTGCCATCAAAGTTCAGCTTTACCCATCCTTTAGGCGGAGGGGT